TCCTCTTGTCACTTTCCCGCCTCTGGGTTCAGGCTGGGTGAGAGCTGCCAGGACAGAGACTCCCTGCCCTGGTCCTGCTCTTGGTCCTGAGTTCTAGCAGCCATGTGACCTTGGGCAAGTTACTGAACCTCTCCAAGCCTGTTTCCTCATCTGTAAAAGGGAGGTGATAAGAACACCAGCACTTGGTGGGTTGTTAAGAGAGTGCAACGTGATAAGCCCATGTGCGCACAGTGTGGTGCCCGATAGATACAGGGTAAGCACTCAGTAAGTGGTAGCTGTTGCTTTTGATTACCACGACTGCATGGCTGCAGCATCCATATAACTCAGTACATAGCTGAAGGAAGCCCATAAAAGTACTAGTAAAGTCACCCTGTTGCCACTGCCCCAGGTCCCAGTAAGCTGCCCTCTCTCCTTCTGGACTTATTCTTACCAATGTAATCTCACTTGTTGAGTTGAGGGAATGAATGGACATGCTGACTCCCATGTTTCTTTCTAGAAACTTCCCATCACACAGCCCTGAAGATAGGATAATTTAAGGCAACAGGTGACATGATCGACAAGTTAAAAGATATCTCTCTCTTGGGCTGACTCGTTAGCACAGTTGGTTAGAGTGCAGCCTTGAAACACCAAGGTCATGGGTTCAGATCCCAGTACCACCCAGCCACCAAAAAAAAAAAAAAAAAGTTATCTCCTTTACAAAAAAGAAACTCACAACAGTGGCTGCTCTCCCAGGAAGGCAACAGGTTGGCTTGGAGTCAGGGATGGGAGATTTACTTTTCACTATACCTATTGTATCTTTTGAACTCTGCACCTCAAGTATGTCTTGTCTATATTAAAACAGAGTATTTTTAAACAAGTTAATTTTTGAAAAGTAAAAAGACACAATTTGTATTTTTAAAAGTTATGCCTCCTCCCACGAGAGCTGAGAGCAGATGGGCAAGCTTCACGTAAACTGCAGAGCATTTATGCCCTCTGTGGCTGTTTTACCCGAGCACAGGGGTTTGGGTAGAAGGCATGAGAAGACAGAAAGGGAGGGAGGGAAAATATTTTTGGTTCAGGATTATCAAGGATTTGACTGCTTTCTGCACAAAGAAACGAAAAGAATTCCTGTTATAGATTTGGAGCAAGGCTTCATCTCTGACTCTAATCCCAAATCTTGCCTATAAGTTACGACCCAGGGAAGGTAAAGATGTGAATTAAAAGAACAGAGGGCAAATGAAGTGTGTGTCTCTGTTTGTGTGCATAGTCCAAATAATGCTGGCTCGACCTTTCATTGTTGTTTTTAAAAATATTTTTTTAATAAAGAAAACAGCCTGGAAAAAACTCTGCCTCCTCTTGAAAATTAGGAACTCACCTAGAAATAACAAGGGCTCACTTTATTTGTGCAAGTACAATTTAGTATAACCAAGCACAAGGCTAGTTTTCTCCTTTTATTCGTCATTTTCCATTCCTGACAGAATTATGGGTGACTGTGGGGAGAGAGTGGACCTGAAAAGAAATACCTTAAATCTCATTATAAGTAAGCTACCACATAGCACCCTTTGGCAAAACGGATCTTTAAAGAACAAACAATACTGTATTAAAAACGCTCTATGTTAAAAATGCATTTAAAATTCTAAAATGTGCTTACAAGAAAATGGATTTATATAAAAAAAAAAAACTACCCGCAAAGCATAAAGATTAAAATATACTACGCTTGAGTAGCTCAGAATCAGTTCTGTGTCTTTAGGATGACTTTAGAAAAGACGAAGTGCATTTAAGTTTCTGAAAACCATGGCGTACCACAATAAAACAGAGTCAAGGTCATTACATCACGGGTAGCCAACTGGCAACAGCTCTGCTTGCCTCACGCATGTCAAAATCGCTTAATCACTCTTGGTGGAGACTAGAAAAAGTGTGTTGGCTTCACAAATCATCCTATTTTCTAAAGGTGACTTTCAGGCACATAGGGAGGAGCACGTACTGGACGTAAGAAGAGTGAGTATATGAAGAGAACCGGGAAGCGTGGCTGAGCAAGGAAGAATACAGTTGCCATTCTCTCAAAATGCCACATGTTCTCAGTTTCAGGCAAGCACAGTCCTCACTCATCTAAATACTGGCACATGTCTATTTCCTTTATTTTCTCATCTCACATGATTTAGCATCATCAAGTACCTAGTTAAATATGACAAACGAGGTAGTGTAACCCCATGATCCAGGCTCACTAATTACTATGTCCAAAAGTCCAGATTCTGAAACTTTTTAGGATGAAAAAAAGACACAAAGGCATGACAGCTCTGGATTCTGTGCAACACTGATGTACAGGATTCTAGTGTTCATGCAAAGCTTCCAGTTTCCTGCTTGCTCTGTTCAGTGGGAGGTTGTAGGCAGTATCTGCTGTAAGGCTGAACGGAGAGCTATCAAATCATGCTACTTTGGTAGTAAAAGCTTGGATTTTAGGGACAAATTAGATGAGCAAGAATAAGAGTTCCTGTGCGTCTTTTAGAACTTGGCTCCAGCCCCAACCCTTTCACAAGCTGTCCCTAACTTCCTGAACAGTTTCAGTGCTCACGCATCATCCCAGTAGCAGACGTTGCTGGTTGCCTACACACCATTCTTCCAGAACCCCAATTTTATTCAACACTGATGGCCCTATGCTTCCCTGTCGCTCCCTTTTAAATCTCAACACGGTCCCTTTACACTTTAAAATAAAAGTTTAAAAGGATCAATACTGTTCCAGACGGTGACGTCCATGGGTTCTCGGGGGGCTGGGGCCGGGGCGGATTCCGATCCCTCTCCCAGATCTAAAAGCTAAAACTTTCCCCAGCCCCAGGGGTTGAAATTTCACTAGCAACCCAGGGTTTTTCATCCCATTCCCCTTGCCAGTGATTGGTTAAGGAACAAGGTCATGATAAAAATCTGGCTAGACTCAGAGGGAATCTCCTGCTGAAGAACTTCTGTGCAAGTTTTTCTTGCTCTTCAAACAGGAACAAAAAAAGTGGGGGATGCTGTCTTTTCCATTTCTGGTGTCTAGAAATGTGGCAGCAATACTAGGATCAGGTGAACTAGCTAAGTAGAGCTGAATGGGTAGGAAAAATCTGGTCATGACGCCATTGTTAAGTCACTAACTTAAGCAAATCCTGGGACTTCCTAACTCTGGACTTGTTGTTTTGTGAGGTACAGTAGTTCCCCCTTATCCACAGTTTTGCTTCCTGCAGTCTGTTATCCAGTCAACTGCAGTCTGAAAATATTAAATGGGAAATTCCAGAAATAAACAATCCATAAGTCTTAACTTGCTCACCATTCTGAGCACAGTGATGAAATCTTGTACCGTCCCACTCTGTCCCATCCACAACATGAATCACCCTGCTGTCCAGCATCACCGCGCTGTATGCACGGCCCGCTACCTAGTCATGTAAGCCATCTTGGTTATCAAATGCACTGTCTGAGTATCACAGTGCTTGTGTTCAAGTGACCCTTATTTTACTTAATAATGGCCCCAAAGCGCAAGAGTAGTGATGCTGGTAATTCAGATAAGCCAAAGAGGAGCTGTGAAGTGCTTCCTTTTTTTTTTTTTTTTTTCCGTGTCCGGCAACGGATCGCAACCCTCAGTGTTGCCCCCGTACCGGACCAGGGACCGGCAACGGGATCGCAACCCTCGGCGTCGCCCCCGCGCCTCGCTCAGCCAGTGAGCGGGAACCGGTCCGTATGTGGGATCCGAACCCTCAGGCGGGAGCACCGCCGCGCATCCCAAGCGACGCACTATCCAGTGCGCCACCGGGCCGGCCCTGTGAAGTGCTTCCTTTAAGTGAAAAGGTAGAAGTTCTCGACTTAAGGAAATAAAGAAAGGAAAAAAATCATATGCCAAGGTTGCTAAAATCTACGGTAAGAAGGAATCTTCTATCCATGAAATTGTGAAGAAGGAAAAAAATCTGTGCAGAGCATGAGTATATCTAGGGTTTGGTACTATCTGTGATTTTGGGCATCCACTGAGCATCTTGGAATGTGTACCCTGTGGGTATGTGGGGACAACTGTGATAAAATTTCCTTATTGTTTAAGTCATTAAGTTCAGGAAGGGGGACTTCTGTTACTTGTAGCCCCAAGTCACTGGATACAGTCCCCTTCCTCTGAAATAACAATCTGTTTTATAGAGGATACACAAGAACACATACACGTTCACTTGCTCTCTCTTCCCTCCCAACACCATCTTTTTAAAATGAAATTGACTCTTATGTGAGTGCTGGCTTTATCTCTTTCAGCCCCCCAAATTCTAGCTCCTTGGAACATGTATTCCCTGTCTAGAATACCCTCCTCCCCAGCACTATCAATCACTTCAAGGCCCAGTTCAAAATCTACCTCCTGCATGAAGTTTTTTATTTAATCCCTGCCTACATCTTCCTCTAATTCTAACACATGGCGTTTACTGCCTCTAACTTTTTACATCTTGTCTGCTGATTCTCGTGTCTTCCTCTCCATGTCTGCCATTCCGAGCACACAACTGATTTATAGCGACTGACTGACTGACAACGGACGAATGAATGAATGAGTGCAAAGCACTATTTTCCTTCACCTGAAACTCTGAGTTTTCCTTTCCTCTTTTTCTTCCTTGTCTTCTTTCCTCACCTTACTTCTCTGCAGAAGAAAAGACAAAAATTGAGATAAAAGAAATTCAGAGCTTAGACTCTAAAGAAAGAAGAAACAGTTTTAAAGAAAGCCAAAAATGACTCATCCTACCTTCTGGGAGTTACAGATAGGGAAAGAACCATGGTATGGGGGAAGCAGGAGTTGGACACTATACATATGACCTCTGTTTTTATACTCCCTTTACACATTGATCAGTTCCACAATTGAAACTGTGGGGTGGGAGGGATCCTTAACAAATGAGAAGTTTAGAAGCAAAAAATGAATTAGAAGCAAAGAATTAGAAGCAAAAAATGTAGCACACTCTAGCACATAGTAGGCATTCAATAAATGTTAGTGAATGAGAGGTGACGTCACATCATATGGTTAGAGCTTTGGGTTTACACCTTGAATGAAGCCTTTTATTACAAAAACAGGATGAAATGTAGATACCAGTAATAACATTGCTGTCTCGATTGTAATTAATTTCATCTGAAAGTGCTGACATAAGAATATCTGATCTAATATGGACCACAAGCTGTTTTGAAATGAAAAATAAAATCTTGGGTTGTTTTCATTTTTACTTTGAACTTCCTGTGGTTGTTGGCTAACGCTCAAAATACAGGGTCATCAGGAGGAGATCTCCAGACCATCTACAGAAAGGTCTCATCCATCACAAAGGCTGAATCTCTCATTGCAGCTCTGTGCTTCTGTGTGCCAAATTCTGGGGCTGTCCTTCTGATGAGATGGCAGAAAGAACATTTGCTAGGATTATGACCCAATGCAGAAATTGGCTAGTACCCATGAAGGTATGTATTACAGTTCTAATAGGCTTGTAACTCACTCCAAGCCTTAATATTAAACCAAGACTAAGAAATTCTACAAGATCATTTATATTACACAATAAGAGTAAAAACTGTAGTAAATGTTCAGATATTTAAATGAGCACCAAACACTACAAAGTGCAACCAACATGGTTCTATTAAAAACTTTCTTCAACTGTGGCATTCAAGGACAGCAATACAATATTTTCTTTACAAAGCAACCAACGTAAAAATCTGCAAAGGCCATAAATTCATTTCTAGGCTATTATTCTCATATAGGCATGTCATTAGATATACTTTTAAAAAAAATTCTTTCCTGAGTTATGTTTTTGTGGTTTATTTTTACTGTACTGCTGGATGCATTATCTTTGATCATCCTTTCCTAAAATGATTTCTAAAGACCTGCAAAAAATTTTATTGCATAGGACACTATTCATGACACAGGGACTGGGAACTGCAAATATGTGGTATCTGAATAAGTCTTACAAATATTTCATTTTAAGAATTTGTTACATACATTTTTACAGTTTGTCTCTTTTAAAAAATTGAAGTTATAGCTAAGGGTTAACTACGTACAGTGAAGCATTTTAGGAATGTTAGAGATTAGAGAAGAAAATGAATGATAAAAAGGAAAAAAGCCATAATTCTTGCTGGCTATATATTGTATTGCCTTCAAAAGCAACTGTGCATGTTGCAATCAGTTCATAGTTAAATATTTCTACTAATCTGTTTTGGGAGAGCAAATGTCTTTCAAGGTTTCAAGTTCCTCTATAAGCTTCTTGTTCTGAACTTCCAGCACTGCAACTCGACTCTCCAGACATTTTACATATTCTTTCTTTCGCCGTCGACATTCTTTAGCAGCTTCCCTGAAAAAAGTAGAAGCAAAAGGGCAAACAAAACATTTTTTGCATGCTATTGACAAACAGACTGAAGTAATAAGCTCAGTAAATGTGATCATGGTTGCATTCCAAATCTTGGAACAACATTCCCAATTCAACTTCAAACACTAAGCCAAACTGGATTCTTAAGGGTCACAAGGGTCCCTTCCACAAGTCCACATGGCAATTAGTAGAACTGCCGCATCTCCTGCTGTGATTAGAGTTCATAGTAAACAAGGTCCAAGTCAAAGACAGTTACTCTGCTTTATGGCAATAAAGATCTTTGAGGGCCTTGAGTTCCTCAATGAGAGTCTTGTTTTGGTTTTCAAGCACAGCCACACGATTTTCAAGACATTTGACATATTCTTTCTTCTTCCTGCGACACTCCCGGGCAGCTTCCCTGGAACCAACACAAGGCACATGACTAAAGGAACAACCTCCCAGCACAATCCAGAGTGGCTCAATGAACTTCTGCCCCCCAAACTCAACAACCAGTCAATCCTAGGTAAGGTCTGCACAAAGCCACATAACAAATCTAACCAAGCATATGCCTTTTTGTAAGATTACTGTAAGACAACAGGACTGACCTGAGAGCACAATCAATTTGCCCAGCATTCCATGATTCCATTTGCACACATTCCCTGATAACAACGACCATAATTATTTTCAGTAAACTAAAACAATAGTATCACATCCCCAAGCAGAATTTCTACAGAAACACTTACAGATCCTTTCAATTCTCTTAATGATTTTTGTCTGTCAAAAGCCACATATTCCATCACAATGAGTTAATTTTATATGATCAAAAATGATTATACGAATTAATCCTCAGAACCTTAAATGTCAATATTGGAGATTTTTATTCTTCAAGACTAAATCTCAGTTAAACAAGATCAATCACGACTGCAGGAAATGATTTATTTGCTAGAAAACACAACATGAATTACAAAAATAAACAAAACATGTACATTTTTATAAACCAAAATGAAATGAACACTGTTTCTGAAAACTAAAGAAGCAAAGGAGGAGGCTACGTAACACAACACTCAATAATTCAGACAATTCAAACCCACAATGTAAGAAACACAAGAATTAAAATTATGAAAAGGAAGCTACTGAATAACCCAAAAGTGTATTTCAAGGATGTTCTTTAATCACATGCATTTAATATCCAATATAATGAATTTTAAAGCACTATAAGCAATGCCCAAAGGACAGAACAGACCAGCAGCCAAAGCAACAAACACAAATAAATAGATGAGCTGAGTTAGTAATTTTCATGCATAATCCCACCAAAAAACAATAAATAAAGCCAATGTTTTCTCTCTTCTTCTTTTCATGGTGGGAGGGGATGGCAACTACTTCATTTAACTCCTCTATAGAAGATACTCTCTGATAACAGCTTTATTTTTGAGTATTCAATTCCAGAATAACTGACTTTGGGGTACATCTGTACCCTTCATATCAAGAAAGCCTATACCGAAACAGATATTATCATTCAAATATATTTTAACAAAAGTAGTGCTGAATGTCTAAACACCAGTTACTGTAATGCCAATTAGCATTGTTGTAATTCTGAACTAAGTGTGATGCATACAATAGATTTGGCTAATTGTTTTATTTTTAGGAAAGCTGACTCTCACTAACTGGATATCTGTGTTTTCTCTATGGAAAGCAAGAATCAGCAGAAAAGAAACCTTGAAATCCCAATGAACTACAGGAAAAGATCAACCCCTACTTCCTAGCCAGGAACAATACACTCACCCTGTGAACTCACAAAGTTCTCAGACTTCTCAACTGGTTAACAAAAAAAATTAAAAATGTAAAAGTGAATTGAATCTGGTAAATAGCAATTAATTTGATTAATTCATGATGCACAGGGAAAAGTTAAAAATAAATCCAAGCACACTTACAAATTTACCAATTTGGGAACATAATTCAAATCTCTTCCACAAAGGAACATTTATTTATTCATTTATGAATACCAAGGTTTTCATGATAAAATCATTATCTTAAATTCTAGATCTAGAAGGAAGATAGTTATTTTACAAAACAAGTTACCATTAAGTGAAAATTTAAATACCTAATAGCAGTTTTGTGGTGTATTTAATTTTAAAATTTTATTTATCAGCTGTTTACTGTAAATATCCATACTTCATATTTTGCATTTGTGCATATGTGCACGCGTGCGTGCACACACGTTACTAAAGTCAAAATGTTCCAAGCACGAAGCTTTAAATGATCACACAAGTAGATGGTACACTCCTAAGTACTTCTCAGCTATGGAAAACACCTGTTTCTTCTATTAATAGTTAGCTCATTTTCCTGGCCTTGCATTTGTCTGGACATATCTTCAGCATGGAGAGGAGATACATGGCACAGAGGTAATACATGACAAAAAGGAAAAACTAACAAGGCTGTATAGAAATAAAAACTGTTGCTGGATTGGTAGAAATACAATATAATTAAATATCTATTATAGATGCCAGCCAAATTATAAAAAGAGAATGTATAAGAGAACTTTCATGTTAATTATTACAACCTACATACTTCCATGAAGTTAAATCTGGAGCTTACAATGAGGTCTTTTTGAGGTGACCCTGGTGTTAGTGTACTGGACAGGCTCTAGAATAAAGGCTGCCTGACTGCATATCTTGGTTCTGTCCAGTTTGGGCTATGCGATCTTCACTAACTTATTACTTAACCTCTCTGAACCCCAGTTCCCCATCTATAAAATGGGGATAGTAACCAGACCTATTCTCATGTGAAAGCACAGAGAGACAAAGCAGTTAAAACCTGCTAACCACACACTGAGCAACCTAATAGCCATTTATCATCTGCTTTTCTCTTGTCTTGAGATTTGGAGAGCTAAAATATACCCTTTTCAGAATCCCTTACAGCTGGGACTAGAGACCTATTTCTAGCCAATGAAATATAGGTGAAAGTTGCTGGGAGGGTCTTTCAGGAAGAATTTTCAGAAGAGCCAGACTTAGCCAAACCCAATTTTTGGTTCTAGCCCTTCTCCCTTCTTCCTGCCTGGTGCAGTGCCTGGAGTGCAGCAGCCATGCTGTGATCATAAGAATGTATGGTACATGCTGAAGATGACAGAGCAGGGAGGACGAACCTTGATGACACTGCTGAGCCTTTGTTCTGGCTGCACATACCTCCAGATATGCTATATGAGATCAAAAAAACACCTACAAGTTTGTTTTTTTTTTTCAAACCACAAAACTTAGTTTTAATATTGATACAGGAAGACCCTGCTTTTCAGCAAACGCTGCCTATAAAACCCTCAATTTCTAAACACAGTGGGTCTTCACCCGCAAAAAATGTTATTTTTCAGTTGCTGGTTACAAAGTGCCAACCACATAGCAGACCCCAGGCTGTGCCTTTTGAGTGATCCTCATCACAGTCTGGTCATTAACACAATTCCCATTTTGCAGTGTTCATTTTTTCATTTTTCCTTTTATTAGGTACAGAATCTGGCAGCACTGTATCTGGCAACCAAGGCAAAAAGGAAAAGAAGGCTCATTCCGTGGTTTTCCTTGTCTTGTTTGCTTGCAGAAGCATGCTTGGTCCTGGAGCCAGTTCCAAAGGGAGCTCATCTACCATGCACAGGAACGCTAAGTGGGCACAACTTCTTTCTGAGTTTGTCCAGAGTCACATCGACCATGTTCAGATGGATGGGCATCATGCCAGCCATCTGAAAAGGCCAAGGGCTGACATTTTTCTGAAGTCCAAGGAAGGCAGTTCTGCCAGAGGCTGGGGTCATGGGTGCGCTAGACTCCTTAACTTTCTCGCAACACAAGGACAGAGCTTAGATACTCTGAAACTCATGTTATGAGCATGGGACAGAAGCCTGAGGCAGGGGCTGAACTGAAATCAATTTACAGTCCCAATAACTTGCATTCACTGTGCAATTATGATGATAATTAAAAAAACACCTACAAGTTTAAGCCTCCATTTCCTTTGGTTATTTGCAGGCCAAACACAAATGCTATCTAATAGTTATTATCTGTTATTTTTTAAAAACCTAAAATTTTGTGGGGTTTTTTTCTTCAGGGGTATTACATATGTATGTGTAGGCAGTTGTGTGGCACATTTATAGGAACCCACTGCCTAATATCTTATCTATTTCATTTTGGTATTTCTAGTGACAAACTTAAAATCTAAAAGTAGAGGTAGAGGGCCGGCCCGGTGGCACACTGCTACAGTGTGCCGCTTGGGAGCATGGCGGCGCTCCCGCCGAGGGTTCGGATCCCACATACAGACCGGTTCCCGCTCACTGGCTGAGTGAGGTGCGGGCGCGACACCGAGGGTTGCGATCCCGTTGCCGGTCGTGGTCCGGTACAGGCGCGACACTGAGGGTTGCGATCCGTTGCCGGACACGAAAAAAGACAAAAAGGAAAAAATAAAAATAAAATAAAAAAATAAAAGTAGAGGTAGAGGCTGGCCAGTTAGCACAGTTGGTTAGAGTGCAGTGTTATATAACACCATGGTCAAGAGTTCGGATCCCCAAACCAGCCAGCTGCTAAATAAATAAATAAATAAAAATAAAGGTAGAGAAATACAATAAAAGGGAAATAATAAGACTACTTCCTGGTTCTTCCTTTTGTTTCCTCTGGGTAAAACAAGACATCAATGAACAATTTTACAGTTTGCATTATTATCATACCTTATATTTCTAAACTGAACTTCACAATGTACATTTTATGACCAGAGAGGCAATTATACTCATAGCTCCTGAGATCTCAGAAAGTGCAATTTTAAAGTATCTGCATTTCTCCATAAGATCAAAGTTAGGGATCTTCAATAATAAGATTGCCATCAAATAACTATGATGCTGTGTGAGCTTCACCCATCAGCTCATTTAGGATTTCTGAGCAAAATGCTGATGATAAAAAGTATGAATCCAGCACTACTGAGCAAACAAGGAATAAAGACTGATCAAGATGTCCATATCTTACAGTCCTACTTCTGGTTATCTGTTGAGTTCACCAGTCTACAAAACTCCATCTAATGATCTGTGATAAATAATAAGCTTAGGAACAGTAGCCAACTTAAAGATTCCTATAATATATCAAATTGTGACATTGAAAAGGTTATTAATAAACTGAATATAGCTACTTCTGGTTCACACTCAGTTAAAAGGACTGTGATGAACTTAGCACTGAATCTGAAGGGCTCAGGGGCCACAATTTCTAGATTCACTAGGTTGTAACACCTCCTAAATTAACTACCACCATGTGGTCCTGATCACAGGAAAGCACATGATACCTTCTGAAATGTGTTGTTTTCTTACAATGAGGACATTATTTAACACTTAGGAATAAGGTGACAAGACTATTGGGAAATTCTTAGACAATTCTGTTCATTTCAAAAATCACATTAATTTATACCATTCTCCGTAACTAAAACTAAACCAATAAATATGTAAGTGAAATTTATTTTAAGTTTAAATTTTAAAAATTTTTTGGAAAATAGCATTTTATGATATACTGCTGCTTAATAATAAAATTACAGAGATAGGGAGCGAGAATGAGAGAGAAAAACAGAGCAGAAGGAAAATACAAATATTAGTAGGTATCTCTAAGTGGTGGAGCTATGGGTGATTTTAATTCTTTTTGTTATTTTATATTTACACTTGACAAAAATTTATCAGAACAAATATGTATTTCAATATAATAGAAAAAAATTTACATAATAGACAACTACATGTAAAAAACTTAGAAAATAAATATTAACTCACACTTAAATTTATTTTGCTCATAAAGAAGCAAAAAACTATACTTATCACCTATTCACAAAATAAATCCTTGTTTGTAATAAAGTCCTTCTATCATTTTTACAAAAAAGTTAATGTATCTTTTGGATATTACCCTTACAACACATAGGGATGGATGTACCTCCTACTAATGAAATAGTTCAATGGCTAGGAATTCTGACTAGAAGGTAATCTAATCATCATCACGTGCAGAGCACAAACCCACATAAAATGCAACATAACATTTAACTCAGGAGAAACACTTAGGAAAAGTGTAATTTTTTTAAAAGCCCCACAGAAATAAATTGTGTCCTGCAAGTGGTTACTAATTTCCAGTGAAACGTCCTACCTGTTTTTCATTAGCCTCAGTTCTCGTTTGCGTGTTGCTTCTTCTGCTAGTTGCTGGGGACTGTGCAAACTTCCTGGTGAGGCCGCCATCATCACTCCCTGTGGCAAAGCAGTAGTGGGAGCTCGGATCTGGTAAGTGGGCATGTCACCAGTGGTGGCTGCAAGGAAGCAAAATATTACAAGCTTATATAAACAAGTCACCATTTGATATTTTATTTAAAATTGACCTGGAAATAACATACTTTTTACATGGCATAAGAGGTAATCTTGTAATGTTTAAGATGATTATTCTGAGCACTGCAAGAATCTTAAGTGTCAAAGGTTTTCTTCAGCTTTGGAACAATGATACTCAGCACGTTCTACACATTTTAGGTAGAAAAATGTCCTAACACATTTTGGATAGGTTTTTATCAAAGGTTAAAGGCAGCAGGCTTTTCAGCTGATAGTTCATTTAGCCTAAAATCAGTAGTATGCTGCTAAACATTTAAGAAACAGCTCTCTAAGGGGGGGAGCCCTGATCTGTAGTGTTTTATGATTCCCATGATTCACCATGGTAAATTTCAAGCTACCTATGTGACTTCACTGAATGTAGAGTTGGAAAGGGACACACAGTAAGTAGCACACCATACGGATAAAACAGATATAAAGAACCTCAAGAGTACAGATGAAATAATTAGAAATGAATTTTGAGAACTAATGATTTTAATGTAATTTATTTAAGAATATATTTGTGCATGTGTGTGTAATTTTTAATAATGGTTGTTTTAACAACCAGTTCACAGAGATGCTGAAAATTTAACTATCAGCTCTAGCAAGCTAATGGGAGCTGGCTCTAGGACACTACTGTAGAAATTTTAATTAAGCAGAATATCTCCATCCTCTGAAATATTTCAGTTAAGAGATTTTCCTATACCCTATTATCATGCCTGAAACAGTTATTGAATGTCTTTAAGTGCAAATCCTATTGCCAGAAAATGATTGAGGAACTGAATGGAATCTCTAGTTTGTTGCAGTTTCAGTTAAAAAAACAAAACAAAATAGCAAACTGGTTTCTTTAAGGAAAGATAATTTTTGTCTTAGGTTTCTCAGGATAATAATACATTTCTAAGTATTCTTTTTAAAAAATATCTCTAAGTATAGTCATCAAGTTAAAAGATTTAATATTTACTTAGTATTCAGATTGAATACTAAAAGTAAATTCTCAGAGTTTCCTAATTTTTTTTTTCCTTTTTGTCTTTTTTCGTGTCCGGCAACAGACCGCAACCCTCAGTGTCGCGCCCGTACCGGACTGGGACCGGCAACGGGATCGCAACCCTCGGTACTGCGCCCGCCCCTCGCTCAGCCAGTGAGCGGGAACTGGTCTGTATGTGGGATCCGAACCCTCGGCGGGAGGGCTGCCGCGCTCCCAAGCGGCGCACTGTAGCAGTGCGCCACCGGGCCGGCCCAGAGTTTCCTAATTTATATTCAAAGTATGTCTATCTACTGCAATAAACTTAGCTTCCTAGAAAAGACAGATGGATTTGAGTACTGAAAGATGTTTCTACCACCAACACTTCAACTTTGAGAATGTATGGTCCAGAGTTAATTTGATACTCTGATGAAATATTACAAAATTCATGCTCTCTCAAAGCTAAATGCAAGGAAAAGGCCTCCGCCCCCCCAAGTTATTAAATCCTATAAAAGTTGGTCTGAACCAAATGCCAATCAAAAGAGAAAATACAGCACTTCCATATTTCATTAAAATGTATTATACCCTTTGAGTAAGAACCAAATTTTACCCAAATGGGAGACAAAGACTTTTCACCTAAATGGAATGTTATTATTGATAACAGCCAAGGAGTTTTTAAAAATTAAACAAAAATTAACTACCTATGTGCTCCTATTAGGGTATATGCCAATTCCCCCGCCTGCCTCCCCACCCTGGGCTCAAGAATTAGGTGAAAGAATAAAATAATAAAAAACATGGTTTTGAGGGAAGACCATTTGTATCAACAGTAAAAATACCATTTTATAAGGTTGTACTGCTTCTTCCTTCTATATGTAATTTAAAAAACAATGGTGATAAATAGTAACTGTGATTAATGGTCACCAGCAAAATCTCTATTAATAAATTTGGAAAAGTCCTAAATTTTATTCAAATTACTGTATACACAGATGTCTCAACATATGTCACAGAAAACTTTATGGCTTTGAAATATTTAGGAAGATCATTTAAAAACCAGTTATAAACTAACTTACAAAATGTTTTAAAAAATATCTTAATCATATTGTCACAGGAGATGGAGTGGACCATGGAATAACATAGTTCTCTCTCTTTTCTCTTTACCCACATCCAGGGAAGAAGGTTATGGGATAATAAAGGTTGAAACAATGGAACAGATGGAGGCTACACAGGCTTCCTGAAATGAGAACAATCAGTGACGAATGAGGGGTTTACATGTCACCCTGTTGACATTTTCAGGCGGCATGAATGCAAACTTTGGTCTAGGGTTGTTCTTTCCAAACACTGCTCACAAGGAAGTGCAATAAAATTAATAGAAAGGTACAGAGATGTTCATTATACTCTCTAATTTTGTATACATTTGCTAGTTTCCATAATACAAAGTTAGAGCAGAAGGCTTACATGATACACAAAAGCCAGTTTTCTTAAAAAACCATGTTTTTTTAAAAAGGGGGAACGGGGTGGAAATACTTCACAGATGAAAAATAAAATTCATTCATTGGTCTCATATTTACCAGAAATGGTTTTAAACAACGTTTGCCTGCTTCCAAAAGCCACACTCACTCTCAAAGGACCAAATTTGGTGCCACAAAGGCTAATGGCAATTCCAAAAGAAGCATTCTTAAAAAACTATGAGCAATAACTCAGAAAAAATGTCACTTTAGGGCTGGCCCCGTGGTTCATCTGGGAGAGTGCAGCGCTGGTAGCGCCAAGGCTGCGGGTTCGGATCCTATATAGGGATGGCCGGTGCTCTCACTGGCTGAGCGTGGTGCAGACCACACCGTGCCGAGGGTTGCGATTCCGTTACCGGTCAAAAAAAAAAAAAATCAGTTTAAAATAACTTGAAAGTGAATGATATATGCGGATATGTTAGTTCTAGATGTTAGATAACAAACTTAATTTTATTACAAATTTTTAGATATATATTCATTTTATTTCCTTCAACAAAAATCAGAAGATCATAGCTCATTAATTCAAGGCAGAAATGGGAATTAGTGTAAATTAGTAGGAATTAGTACAAATTTCTGTAATATCCCAAACAATCTATGTGATTATATACTTCTAATGATCAATGGATAAATTCTATATACTCAAATATAATATTAATAAAGTACATTAAAAAGATATGGGCAAAGAGAATCTCTTGTTTTGAGGAAATCTAAATGTCAAAAAGTTTTCTTTTTGAAACAAGTTATTTAAAAAAGTGTTTATCTTATTTAGGTTCAAGTTTCCCATATTTATAAATTCAGTAGTAACTTAAAGCAGATTTGATACCAAGGATCAAAGTTCAAAGAACCATCCTACATTTTTTGATGACATACTCTTATTCCTGTATTTTTATAAAGGCCAATTCCTGTCTCATCTAACTACTAAAAGTGTCAAAGTTATTTTTTACTTTAGAATTTCATTTTCATATTCTGAAAATATATGGGTCATCAGTGTGGGCTTAAAAAGCATGACTGAAGAAAGATAATAAGATTTATACACTAATTTTATTCTCATCAAGCAAAAACTTTAAGTCAGGGATACTACCTCCTTTACCTCAGTAACCTCGAGAATCTAGCACAGTACTTGGCATATAATGGGTGCTTCATGGGTTTACACATGCATTATGAAGTAAAGTTTGAACTTTCTAGGGTTTTGCACAAGCTGTCATCTGTAAGGTTTAAAATAAAGTCTTTCTTATAGAATTATATTATTATAGCTAAGTCTTTAATTCTTTAACACTAAGACATGGAAAACCTTACAAGACGTTATGTATTTACTCACAGCGACCTTTCTTGATAAAAGACATTATTTCCTAAATCTTCCCTTAAATATACTTTAGTTACCCCTAGAAGCAGAGTTGTTCTAATTATAGTGTTTCCAACCATCTAACTCTTGACATAAAATTTATTTTTAGGTTTAGTATCAAACATTTTGTAGGAAAAGAAAATTCCTAGAACTCTTAATTCACGGTCATTAACTTCATACCTCTCTTTGCAAGCTTTAAACACGGTACAGCAGAAAAAACATGGGATTTGGAGTCTGGGTTCTAGTCCAGCTCTGCCACTTACCAGCCATGTGACTTGGGGCAAGTTCAGTTTCCTCATCTGTAAAATGGGGATACATTATCTCATTTAATACTCACAACAAACTCTGTAATGTATGTCAAAAGTGTCTAGCACAGTGCCTGGCACATGGTAGGCATTCAGTAAATGTTGTTCCCTTCCTCTTCCCTTCCTTAAGTTCTTAAAGACAATGTTCCAATGTACTGTATATTAGTTGAAAGACATATAACATCCATAAATACATTTTCCCCTGGAGTTTCCTTCTAATAAACCTAGGGAATCAAAATGTATAGCTCTTATTCCTCATTTTGTTTTAAAATATGCCGATTAAAAAACTTTTAAATTTTATAATATATTGTTAGAGAATAAATTATTTAAAGATAACATAAAATATCCTTTTCCATGTATATAATCATTTAAAATAGAACCTCAAAGGTGGAGAATCACAAATGACCAAATGATACACTCTCATCAGACTGGTATAAGAAAAAACTGAAAAACCCTATAAGTCAGAGTAGGAAACAAAGACATAAATAAGAAACGCAGCCAAATGCCTATCTTGACAGCTTCTAAAGTGAAACAATTTATCAACATCTCAAATGATGGTGATTTTCTTTGATTACTATATTTATTTATTTATTGAGATGTCTGTAGTACTGGGCACATTAACTGAATAAAAACATTTTTATAGAGAGAATTCCTACTTTCTTTCATATGTCATTTTACTATGTGTCGCTAATCCTAAAAACACCTAAGTAAGCAACAGAGGTAACTTAGAAGTCATGCTTATAAGCAGGAGGCTACTTTCCCTAGCTCCAATAAGCTACTGACATCTTCTCTACTTTTGTTTTTTGGTTCTCTCCCTTCCTACTACCACACCAGTGCT